AAAAGGGCTTATGAAATATTGCAAAGAGTTGTAGTTAGAAAGGGCCTGAAATCTCCACTTTTGTGGGGTCTGTTGCAGTAACAGCAGCAAACACTTGAATTGCAGTCACTCTGTGTCCGGGGTTGTTCTAAGTGCTTCCTGTGTATTTAGTCAGAGAACCCTCATTAGCAACCTTATGAAGGAAGTACTATAATTACCCCCATAATATACCTGAGGAAACAGGCTCAGAGTTAATTAAATTTTCCAAAGTAACAAAGGTAGGAGACTAACTTCAAAATACAAGCCTGCTAACATTCTGCTATGTTGTCTCATTCGATGCTGAGTCCTGCAGACGCTGCATGACATAGCTGAGGACACGTGGCTCCCCCAACCCTGGACCAAACCAAACACCTGGCACCTCCATGGCACTGCTGGGCAGTGCCCCCCAAGCTCCCTCATCCTGATCAGCAGTCCTCAGAAACACCTTGAGTCAGTGACTTTCACACAGAGAGGTTCATGGTCTTACCCCAGCAGAATTCAAAATAAAACAACACTCAATTCTGAAATAAAATTTCAGCTGTGAAATGATACAAAACATTCTTGTAGGCTGAAATTAAAATGGGTTCTTGGGATTTTTCTGATTTTAGCTTTGACCCACCCCTTGCTGGGGCCCTGAGCACACACGCGATCAGGTATCTAATTGGGCCATCCAGCCCCAATCACAGGTTCCGCCCTCTCAGATCTGTGTCTGGTGATTCTCTTGTGTCACCCATAGTGGCTTTTCTAGACTGTCCATTTTCTCCAAGCCCCATCCCCCTGACCCAACAGAGGAACTTAGTTCCACTTTCACTGAGACAGTAGAGGCTGAACCCAATCAAGGTTCCCATTCCCTTCACTCACCCTTTAAAACAAAGAAAGTGTAACTCAAGTGAATTGAGCAGTGACTACCAGCCAGGCACTGTGCCAATCATAGGACAGACATTTTGTTTTCACTTAAAGGTCATAAGAAATCATGAGGCAGATATTATTATTATCCCCCAAATTAAACAACTTGGCCGTGGTCACTGTATCAATTTGAGTTCTTAGCAAACAAACCTGTTGGCCGTTTGGAAGCTCAGGGAATGCATAGTTAGGCTTTAAAAAATGGGTTGAGAGGTGGGGTGGGTAGAGCCAGCGTGAAAAATCGCCCTAAGACCCAGCTCAGGGCGGATACAGCTCCCACTGAACCCCACTGCTTGGGACCCTGAGCGCCGCTCCTGCTTGCTCGGCTTCTCTGCTGTCCCTGGACACTGGATGCCGCTGTGGGTTCTTTTGCTGAAATAAACCCTCCACGTTCCTGCTTCCTGGAATCATAGGCCCCTGATTCAAAAAACAGGAGGGCATCTGATTGGCTGAGGCTCTGTCATGTGCTCACATCCCAGCTGCAAGAGAGGCGGGAAAATAAGTGCTGGTGTTTGAACTTTAGGAGCTGGCACTGCCACTCCCCAAGGCTGTGGTGAGGGGACTTCCCCAAAATGGGAAGGTGGGCACAGGTGGTAGACAGACAACAAAACAAAATGAAACAAAACAAATAAATATCTACAGCAGCCACGTAAGTAACAGAGGCAGGATTTGAATTCAGTTCTGTTTGACATAAAAGCTTGAGGCTTTAAGGACAGCACTATGCAGTCATTCTACAAAACCCCCTTCCTCTCAAAGGGAGCTCTCTCTGCTCCCTCTTTTTTATTTTCAAAAGTCCAGTGTTTCCATGTAATTCTTGGACTCCACTTCCTCTGCTCCCCTTGGATTTTACTCTATCAATAAGCCCCTCCCTCTTTTTTATTTTCACTATCTCCAATTATACAATGTATTTCTCCTCAGCTTCAATAATGTTACATCTCTCCCATCTTAACAAACACATTTCCTCCGAACCTTCTCCTTGGTCTGGGCCCAGAGAGTCCTGGGTTTGAATCCTGACCCCCATCAGTGACCCTGGGTCAGTCATTTCTGAGCCACGGTTTCCTCGTTAGTCATACATATCTCCTTGTGAGGATTAACCCCAGACAATGGTCAGTGCATAGTCGATGGTGTTATCATAAACATTGGTTTCATTACAGCGAGGAGTGGGAATGGGTAGTGACTACAAACTTGTACGGGGGATACTTTTGGGGTGATGGGAATGTTCCAAGATTAGACTGTAATGGTGGTGGTGCAACTCTGTAGGTTTACTAAAACTCATTGCATTATACACTTAATGAGTGGGTTTTATGGCATGTAAATTATACTTCAATAAAGCTGTTATAAAATAACGAAGGGCACCAAACAGTGTTACTCTAGTCTTACCACCCCCTTCTCTTTGTAGAGACCCCTCAAATTTTCGTAGGCAAGAATCCCCAGAGGCTTCCTTCAGGCTGCCTTCCTCACGCTGCTGGGGCCCTGCCGTCCCAAGTCTGAAGAAACATAGGAGACAGAGCTGTGAGTAGAAGTGCCATAACTGGGAGCCAGTCAGACCTGGGCTCAAATCCTGGATTCCGCGTGTGGTCATCTGGGCAAAAGGTTAACTTCAGAACTTCCGTTTTCAAATCAGTACAATGGGGGAAAGAAAACGCTTTCTGGTCGTGAGGATAAAAGGAGACTATACTGTGGAATACTTGTCACTAAACCTAGCAGAGAGTCAACGCTCATTAGCTGGTTACTAGGGCTCCTTTCCACAGCCTGGGGAGGGCTCCCTTCTGAGGGGCCCAGCTTTTAGCGATGCTTTTCTTCTCTCACATTCTTTTCATATGCTCTCTCAGCTACAAAGCAGGCCCTGCAATATCTCCCGCGAGAGAAACAGCCTCCTTACTAACCATCTTCTCTCACGTGCCTCTGCCCCGGTAATTATCTTCAGCACCAGCGATCAGAGTGATTTTTCGAGGTAAAAATAAAAATCTGGCCACCAGGGTTCCCTCTACAAGAACTTCCTGTACTCCCAGTTTCTTACAGGATGGACTCCAAAGCCTGAGCAAGCGTTGATGCCCCCTCCTCCCTTGAGGATTTGCTGTCTGCCTCACCTGCCTCGATGTCTCCCCCTTCTGTCGCAAATAGTCACAGCTACAGCTGTTTACTGACCATTCTCCTGACCTTCCTCTGTGGAAATCTGCTTTCTATTCTCCATTCTTCTCCCTGCCAGGAAGCTCTTGAGCAGTTTGCTTCACCTAAGTCTTAGTTTTATCATATGTGAGTTGAAGGTTTATGATTTCCACTTCCAAGAATTGTTCTGAAGGTAATGATAAATACGAGGATGACAATAACAAAAATGAAAAACAACAATAATAATTCATAAGTATTCAGCACCAGCTATGTGTCAGGTACTAAGCAATTTACAGAAATTATCCCATTTTATTAAATCAGGTACAATTATGATATGTATTTTATCATAGGACGCTCAAAAAATTTGCCTTATTCAAGATCAATAGTTACTAAGTGTCGGGGCCAACACTCAAATCCAAATCTGTGTGATACCAAAACCTATTCTCTAATCCTAGTACTTTAGGGTTCTAGAATTCTCTTCTTTCTTTGTCTTCCCTCAAAGTCTCTTAAGTTCTGCCCGAGGCCCAGCCCTTAGTCAGCTCCTTCAGAAGTTCAGCTGAAGGGGCACAGTTCACGTGCTTTCTCTACACTCTGGAAGGACTTGGGTTGCCTCCCCGTTAGATCACTTCTCTTAGCCTTACTAAATGTATGTTACTTATCCAGCCTGCACGTACTTCCTAAGTACCTGCACTGTCCCAGATGTGTCAGAGACTTCTAGCTGTCCTTCAGGGGCTGTCTTCCTCTTCTTAGTAAGATCACCCCTGGATTTCAGCTAGCCATGGCTACCCAGAATAAAGAAAATATTTCCAGCCTACCTTGCAGCTAGGCATGGCCCTCCAGATGAGCCCTAGCAAACGGCCTGGAGTGGAAGCAATGTGTGCGGGTTCTGAGTGGGGTCCTCGGGAGGGCAAGGTGTGCACTTCATTTCCTTCTTTCTCCTCCCCCGATGGCTGCAATGGGGACTCGATGGTGAGAAATGGAGCAGCTCTCCTGGGTCATCAAATGAAGCTGCCTGTTGACAATGGCGGAGCATCCAGCCAGAATGATTCTTGCTCCTGCTGAATAGTGAAGCTGCTGCAGGTAACTGATTGTCCAGACAAGAAAGAAAAGAAAGAAAGAAAGAAAGAAAGAAAGAAAGAAAGAAAGAAAGAAAGAAAGAAAGAAAGAAAGGAAGAAAGAAAGAAACCAAAGTCTGCCTTTTGGAATTATTGTTTGGGGGAAAATATTTGTTAAAATAATTGAATTACTATTTTAATTATATTCTAATTACATTTAATTACACCAGCTGATGTGATGGGCACTGGGGTTCCAATGCAAAGGTCTGACATTCTAATGGGAGACAAACATCTAAAGACTAAACATGTAAAATTAAATTTAGAAAGAACTAAAAAATCTGTGCAGGTCACAGGATAGTTTATTATGATACAGAGTGACTGCAGCTGGGAGTACCACTGTCTAGGGCGACCAGAAAAAGCCTGTCCAAGGAGGTGACATTTGGGATGAGACTGAATGGTGAGCAGAAGCCAGCCATGGGAGGGTCTGAAGGAGGAACTTTGCAGGAAGAACAAATTTCCTGAACTGGGAGTTGGTTGACAAGCTCAAGGTTCAGAAAGGATACATGTGTTTTTTTGTTTCTTAAATTAAATGTTTCTTTATATATGTTTATGTATTAATTAAATCATTTGCTTGTCATTCTCAAAAAGCTAAATGGCTTTAATCCGCCTGTCTCCTTACCAGGAGGGAAGGCCCCTTGGGCCCGAGTGCTGGCCAGTCTCCCACACACTTGTCTTAAGCTTTGCTGCCTCATCTGCTACACACTGTCCTTTGGCCTGGCTGAGCTCATATAAATCCTCGCCTGCTATACTTCACTGCCCACAGCCCTGCCAATAAAAGCAAGGCTCATCCCGACTGCGGAGAGCTCTGTTTCTATCCCTGGCAACACAGCCACCTTCTTCAGTGACCTGCCAGCCATGAAGCCTCTATTCTTGATGCTTGCCATTCTTCTGGCCATTGAACCGGTGATGTCAGGTAACTCCGGTCTCTCAAGTATCTGGGATCCCAGTCACGAACGTCTCCTCTCCCCTTTCCTCCTCGCTCTGGGCAGCATCTGAAGCTTTTCCCCATTTCACGTGGCTTTGGGAGGTTTTCCCATAATCACCCCATGTCCACATCTCTCCCTGGTGCTTACTTGCCAAGGTGGTGGGATGGAAGATGTTTGGAGCATCGGGCCCTTGAGGGCAGGATAGTGTTCTGGTGGGATCTTGGGAGTGGACTTAGGGGTAAAGTTTGGGTTCTTAGGGGTAACGGTTGGGGGCTTTTGAGGGCCTTGGGAGATAAGATTGAAGTCTGGGGGTGAATTGTGAGGAGAGAGAAAGACCTTAGGGTCAGAGTGAGGGAGGGAGGATTTGGATGAGCTGGAGGTGAGGAGCTGGGCTTCATTGATGGTTTGGGGTGGGCTGGAGAGGGGATGGGATTTTGGGTGAGTGAAGCTGGTGTTGGGGATTAGGTTGGGGGTTTGGCTGAAGCTGGGGGTTGATAGTGGATGCTTCGGGGTGTTTATTAGAGGTTCAGTTTGGTGAGGGACTACTGCTCAGAACTAAGGTTGGTGATTTGATTAGATTTGGGTTTGGCTTGGAGTTGGGGCTCAAGGGGCATTGAGCTGGGTGAGGCTGGGAGTTCTAATTAAGACTGGAGAGGCCTTTGAATTTGAATTAGGTGAATATGGGGTTAAGGAGAATTAGAGATTGGGCTGGAGCTGGAGCTGGGGTTTGTTGGGCTTAAGTTAGATAGGGCCCAGCTATTGATAAAGCGGCTGCTCTGTTGAAATGTGGCTGAGTCCCCGTCATCTCCTTATATTATAGGGTGTTGTTTGTTCTTTCCCCATTATTCCTAAGCTTCATTAGGTTTGAGTTTCAATGGTAGCAATTAAGCCTAAACTTAGAAGTAGGAGGTTGGGGGATAGGAAGACAGAAAGGTGGGACATCTGAAAAAAGCTTTTTAAAAAGCCTTGGTGTTCACAATTTTGGAACAATTGTCTCAGTCTTTTCCTTCTCAAGGTTTCTTCTCTCTTTTCCTGGGACTGGCTCCAGCATTACTGACTCAATCTTCTCTCTCTCCCCTGTCTCCCTGCTCCTTTTTTGCTTCCTCTTATCTCCCCCCTTCCCACCCTGAGGGATACTAACATGGTTGTTCCTATACTCAATAGTATCCTGTTGGATGAATGGACAATGCCGGTTGGTGTGCAAAAATGATGAAGAGAACGTCATACGCTGCTCAAATCGTAAACGGTGCTGTGTCCTTAGCCGTTACTTAACAATCGAACCAGTAACAATCGATGGAATACTCCCCTGGACCACTCCTCGGCCTACTAGACAAGTAAAACATAAGGCCAGACCTGGCCACTGAGTTGCAAGATAAGAGGAAATCATGGCTAGAAATGACTTTGCTTCAAGTTTCTTAGTTTCCACATCCCACTAAAACTCACAGATCTTGTGCCTGTCAATCATGAGGAATGATGCTCCAGAAGGATTGAGGGCGAGGAGATGGCAAGATAAGGGTTAATTGGTAGCAGAGAGAAATCCCTGAGGCTGGGCCACAGCAATGGACTGATGGTTACAGTCTTGAAGATAGTTCCTCATCCTCCAGCTGCAGGAAAGGCTATTGGGTCAGGAGTGGACTGAGAAGCACACGTGAAAAGCTGAGCTTGAAAGGCACAGCTGATGCCTAGAGAGTGGGAGAACTCTTGGGCCGGGAGCTTTGGTTTACCTTGGGGGTGATTGGATTAAGGGTGAACAGGGACTGAGTAGAGCCCAAACCCTTGGGTTTCTGGGTAAGTTGACTGAGATGCCTTTTGAAGCTCAAGAGCTCACACTTCCAAGGATCAGAAAGTTTCCAAGTACTAAAAAAAGATAAAATACATGAATTTACTAATTTATAAATGAATTTATTATTCATTTTCTACATTCTTTCATGGATTCAGTTATTCATTCAGTCACCTTGGCTCTGCCACTCACCACTGTCAGACTGTATGTACATACACTTCTCAGAACGCCAGCCTCCCTATTTGCAAAACTGGAATAATAGGCTCTGTCTCAGGATGGGGTAAGAATGAAATGGGAACATGTAGAGCATAGTGCCCAGCACATAGTAAGCTCTCAATAAATGCTAGTCGTTGCTCTTGCTCATTGATTTATTCAAGCATTTAAGGAATATGTGCTGTGCGTCTTCCAATTGTGTTAGTCTCTGAGGGACAGAGAAGCCTGTTGCATTTGAACTATAACTTAGCCTGGGAGAAGGCTCACCCATGGGGAATGTTCAAGAATTCTGATTGGGAATATAGGGGATTCTAGAGGTATCTTCCCAGGCATTGTTATCTTAAACCCCATTCTCTAGACTTTATTTATCCAACGCAAGAGGACAACACTGTGTTCTATGCAGCGAGGTCAGGAACAGTGTTCTATAGAGCACGGTGCAGGACACAGAGACAGATAGAAGGAATTCACTCTGATCTATGCAGATAATTTGTTCTCATATCACTATTTCCACCCTCAGGCTCTGGGAAGAGAACCACCCTCCTTCTTTAATCCTGATTGAAGAATCCTGATTTAATCCTAGGCTTCCCCTGGCTGAGTCTCTTCCCATGTGGTGAGGGGTTGATGGGGGCAAGGAAGATATTTTATTCCCCTAGAAAATGTGGCCTCCCTACATCCCCACCCCACTTTGTAGATTATGCTTTGAATAGCTGGGACCTGCAATTTCCTGCCCAAAGAATCCTAGTGCCTGCTTCCAGGGACTGTGGGAGGCCTTTCTGAGGCCCGCCCCTGGAGGGTGGGCTCACTGAGTGTGCATTCCTAGGCAGGAGGGGTGTCAGGGGCTGTGGCAGAGCTTGGATGGTCAGGCTGGCGTGTCCCTGTCTGTGCCTACGAAACTCCTCGCTGCCTGGGGTAGAGCTGGGCATGGGCGCGAGGAGAGGCAGGCTGGGGCTGCGCCAGCCCCCTCGGGCTTCCACGTTCCTGCATGGAACTCTGAAGAATCCAACAAACATAAATTCAGACCTGACCCTTTGGGCGATTGTGAAAGGATATTTCATTAAGGGTGATTAGGATATATCTTATTTATCTTGTGTGTTAGCTTGTTAGTTTATTAGTTCTGTATTCACAGCTGTTAAATATTCAGACATATAATGTATGAGCCTCCATTTGTACTTGCCCCAGGACCCACAGATGTTAGGGCTGTGCCAGGAATCTGGGTCCTGCCCTGGCTCACAACCCATCCCCAAACCCATGTCAGAGGCAAGATACGGGTAACCTGTGCTTTCAGCCTCAGTGCCTGTCTGCGCCTGGGGCCCCTCAGGCTGTTGCTACCTGTGCCTGAGGCCCTGGGCGAGACCAGAATACTTCCTCACCGGCCTCCCCGCCTCCAGATTTCCTTTGCATTAGTCTCTGTTATCAGAGGGATTCTTTCTAGGAAGCTCAACTGACCCTGTTGCTCTCTGCTTATCTCCCATGACTGCCACTCACAGACTTTCTCTTCAGCTACACCGACCTTCTGACCACCCCTTCCTGCCCTTACCATTGTCATTATTCATGGTCCTCCTCCGCCTTGGCTCATCCCTGTGACGGACTCCTTCTTACCCTTCAAAGCCCAGCCAATGCCCATACCCATGAAAGCCTTCACATAAGCTCCCTATTTTTTAAAATTGCAATAACAGTTCTCATGGACACTTGTGTGTCAGGCACTGTGCGTGGTGTTTAGGCCTGAAATCATTCCATTTTTACAACAGCCCTCGTATTATCCCATTCTTATTGATGAAGCAACTGAGATCTAGAGAGGTGGTATAATTAGCCAAGGTCACACAACAGTAAGATAGAGCAGGGATTCAAAGTGAGTTCTGACTGGCTTCACCAAGTATCATTCTTAAGAAGGTATGGCTCAGATCAAGTTATTGTGTAATTATTTCAGGCACTGATCGCTTCCCACTAATCCCCCAGATACTCACATAGCAGGCATCTTATTTACATCCACATGCCTGATGTCACGGCCCGTGCTTGGCACAGATGCTATTTAGAGAGTGTTTCTTGAGTGAGTGAAGAGATGGACGATGAATTCATGTCTGAGAGCATGAGTGGATTGGGGAGTGGGTACAAGTGGCGAATGTATCAGGCATGAATCGGGGTGGGACCCTTCCTGGGCTGCAGGGATCGGAGGGCCCCAGCCTCAGGTATACTGGCTCTGGCTGGCTCCGTGAGGAAAGACGCAGAGCAGCTCCTGGGCCTTGCTCAAGTTGGTTCTTACTCATCAGTTTGCTTTTAAAACATGGATTTCACAGCGTGGGAGGTGTCCAAGGAGAGTCTAAAGGTTCTTCAATACCTGAGGCCTGGTGTTAACCTCTCCACACATAGCCGTTCATACCCTCACCAAGTTAATTCATACGAGGGCCTACCTATTCACTTGGCCAGCAACATTTATTATGAATCTCGCACGTTTCACACAGGGCACACAGAGACAGCTCTGGCAGGTGATGTAATGATGAGGTGAGAAAGGGCTTGGAACTCACCACTGAGACATGGTAAGCTTTCAGAAGACATTTAACCCTGTGTCTGAATCTCTGAACTTGGGGCCCAGGCATGTGAAATTTTGAGAATTCCCTCAATTGTTCCTTTGGGAGATAAGACCCCATCCCCTAATTTCCCTTCTAGACTTTTTTCATTCCTGATAGCCCTCAAACTCTGAGAATCTTTGATCTAGGCAACTATCCCTTGTCTTCCCATGTCACAGATGGGGAGACTGAGGCCCAAGGAGGAAAAGTGGCCTATGTTCATAAGTAGGTTCAAGATAATGCTGAGATTAAGCAGGTTTTCTCTGAGGGAATACTGAAGATGATATTAAGTCAATATGGGTAATAACAGTGAGCGTTGATGCGGATCAATATGGGGTCGACAGGAAGGCAGGTGTTAGGAGCTGCAAAGCCCCTGACAAAAGCTTTGGGGTTAGGCTGAGTGCCTTTGAATCCCCTTTTTGTGGAAGCCACGGCCATTCCCCAGGGGGAAGGTTGGAAGGTTTGAGGCCTGCTCCTCCATCTCAGCTGTGCACTTCTGCACACCCTTCTCTTGGAAACAAATCTCACACTGGTCTTCCTTCTCAGGGAAGATGGGAAAGGACCTCACGTCCAGGGTATGTGAAGGAAAGGGCATGGTATTTGTTGCAGCAAGGCTTCCTTGAATATCTCTTTTCTTCCTCATAAGCTGAGGGGTGATGAAAGTGGGTAGAAACGTTGGCAGTAAATAGCAAGCCTGTCTGGGTGGGAGTTTAGCCTGACAGTTATAGAAGTAGTATGACCCCAAAGCAGAGTAGACTGGGCACTGCCCTGGACATTTTTTGGGATGTGTACACAAGTCTGCTGGTGTAGATAAAGCTCAATTCAGCCTCTGTTCTGTACACCAGTACCCATAATCTAAGTTATAATTGATACTTAGATGAAGAATTCATCTTTGATTCTTATCCAAGGTCCACAGGAATACAAATATTTTCTCCTTATCTCTCCTCATCCTTGCTTAGGCAACATATGCTCTCTGTGCAAAATAAAATAAAGATCCCTTTTATTCAATGCAAGGACTTAGGATATCATTGCGTGTGTGCACATGTACGTTAGATTTTGTATTAAGCCTGTTTGGATATAGGAGACCCTACGTGCCCAGCACCAAGGACAAATTCTAGTGAAGATTGGGAGCTGATAACCATTTGTGGAATGACTATCAGGCTCTTGATTGCCAGGGTCAGAAGTTTGGGCTTAAAAGATTGACCTAAGAGTCAGGAACTACTATTGTTCACACAGATGAGAAAAGAGTAGGGACAATACAGAAATTTGTTTACACTACAAATAAAGCAGGAGCTGGGATTTGAACCTAGAGTCTTGATCTCAGATCCTGTTCTATTAAACACTCTATAACTCTGTAAGTTATTTATTTGTATTTTAATTAATTAATTTGAGCTTTATTGACATATAAAAGTGTAACATAGTTAAAGTGGCCATTTTCATGATTTGATATACATATACATTGTGAAAATTCCCCTCTCTGGTTAATTAACACACCCATCACCTCACACATTTATTTATTTATTGTTTTGAAAAGAAGAATAAAGTTAGAGGAATCATTCTAACACATTTCAAGATTTATTTAACTAAACTAATCAAGACAAGGTGGTATTGGTGGAAGGGACAGGAAACCTAAAGACAGCCCCACACAAGTACAACCCAAACTGCCCAAAGCAATTCAATGGAAGAAAGATGTTCTTTTAAATAAGTGGTGCTGGAGCAATTGGGATTTGTAGGCAAAACAAACAAACAAATTAAACAAACACACACACACAAACAAAAAACCACAAACACCTCAATTTAAACAACAAAACTTATAAAAAATTATATCAAAATAGACCATAGATTTAAATATTCTAAAAGAAAACATAGAAAAAAAACTTTCAGGTATAGGGCTAGGTAAAAAGCCCTTAGATGTGAAAAGTATAATTCATAAAAGAAAAAACCCATTAATTGGACTTAATCAAAATTTAAAACTTTCACTCTAAAAGAGGCCCAATGAAAAGAATAGATGAAAAGACAAACTATAGACTGGGAGAAATATTTGCAAACCACTTATTTGACAAAAGACTTGTATCTAGACTATAGGAGCAACTCATAACTCACAAACAATCCAATTAGGAAAAGGTCATGAAAAGACATTTCATTGAAGAAGATATACAGAAGGCAAATGAGCACACGAAAAGATGTTCAATACCATTGTAATTAAAGAAATGCAAATTAAGGCCACAATGAGATTTGACTACATGCTTATTAGGATAACTAAGATTGAAAATAACAACACCACCAAATGTTGGCAAGGATGCAGAGAAACTGGATCTTTTATACATTGCTGGTGAGAATGTTAAATGATACAACCACTCTGGGAAATCGATTGGTGGTTTCTACACACACACACACACCCACACACACACACACACACCCACAATACTACCCAGAAAATGCACTGAACTCTTGGTCATTTATTCCAGAGAAATGAAAAATTTAGTGTCAAAATTGTAGATAAATGTTCATAGCAGTGTAATTTATTTTTAAGGGATTCCTTTTTTAAGAAGATACTATCTTTTCAGACTGGTTTTAGGTTCATAACAAAATTGAGAGGAAGGCACAGAAGACTTCTCATGTACTTTCTCCTCCTACTCAATAGCCTCCCCTATTATCAACATCTCCCACTAGAGTGTAGGTTTGGTACAATTGATAAACCTACCTCAACACATCATAATCACTCAATCATTCCAAGCCCATTGTTTACATTATGGCTTGCTCTTGGTCTTGTACAATCTATGGGTTTGGACAAATGTATAATGGCATGAATCCATGATTGTAACATCATGGAGAGTATCTTCACTGCTACACAAATCCTCTGTGCTCTACATATTCATCTCTCCCCCACCCCAACCCACGACGACAGCTGATCTTTTTATTATCTCCATAGTTTTTCCTTTTCCGGAATACTATATAGTTGGAATCATATAGTATGTGGCCTTTTCAGACTGGCTTCTTTCACTTAGTAATTGCATTTAAGCTTCCTCCGTGTCTGTTTGGGACTTGATAGATTATTTCTTTTTAGTGCTGAATAATATTCCATTGTCTGGAGGTACCAGAGTTTATCCATTTATCTACTGAAGGACATCTTGGTGGCTTCCAAATTTTGGGAATTACGAGCAAAGCTACTGTAAACATCTGTGTGCAGACTTTTGTGTGGACATCAGCTCTCAAGTCCTTTGGGTAAATACCAAGGAATGCAATTGTTGGTTTGTTCGGTAAGGGTATGTCTAGTTTTGCAAGAAACCACCAAACCACCTTCCAAAGTGCCTGTACCACTTTCCATTCCCACCAGGAACATATGAGAGTTCCAGTTGCTTCACATTCTTGCCAGCATTTGGTGTTTACAGTGTTCTAGAGTTTGGTCATTCTAATAGGTGTACAGTGGTGTATCATTACGGTTTTAGCCCTTTAGGTTTTACTACGCTCCCTGACTCATCATGTCTATGTTACTGCTAAGAGGAAATAAAGTATTTGTTATTTTTGTTTTTGCTTTTTTGGCCAGGTAAACATCGCATCCTTCGATGCATGGGTGACAAGGGAACCTGCAGACCTTCTTGCAAAAGGACTGAACATTCCTACCTCTATTGCAGAAATTATCAACCATGCTGCCTCCAGTCCTACATGAGGATAAACATTTTAAACCCAGAGTTAAAAAATGACTGGAGCTGAGAGAAACACTGGCCAAAAAATATCCTGAGAGCTGGTGATCACCATACTCACTCAACCTGCTGTCAATACCCCTCATTAAAATTCATGCACTTGACTCCCTTGTCTTTCATCCCTTGCAAATCACAGAGAGTGAGTCTTGCATGATGAGGTATCTGTCCTCTTCTGGATCCAGTCCTGTGAGAGAGAAAGGTAAAATATGAATGACAAGAAGAGAAAGAATCTATGCAAATCAGGGAAGATAGGGAGGGAATGAATGTACTTGAGTCCATTGAAGGAAGGCTGAGGGCTTAGGCAGAGCCGTGGCTTCATCCATGCCATGTAGGGTTCAGAGGTGGACCAGAACTAGTGGGCTACATCCATAGGACAGTGGGTGAAGACCTGGTAGACAAAGATGCCTTAGCTCTCAGAAGAACTTCCTAACTGGCCACTGTAATAAAGAATAAGGTGTCTTGTCAAAATTTCAAGTTAGATGACTATTGGGGAAGGAACTGGAATATTGAATGTTGTTCTTTTTGATGAGTATTAAGATCTTCTAATTCCTGAAAATATAGGAAGTTTGTGCCACCAATGATAACCAACACTAGTTTTTAAGGTAACATTCTAATTTTACTTTTTATGTCTTCCCTCCACTAATATCTTTTTTCCGTCTTGATCTTTACTTCCAAATTTTGTCAAAAGGAAAGTACCTACACTTGCCAATTGCCTTTCTTTATTTCTGTGCCTCCCTGCAACTTGGTACAATTTGTTTTTGTGCTTATTGTTTTATTGAACTGGCTCTGGCCAAGGTCACCAAATGGGCTCCTTTTGGGAAGTTTCATGGATATTGCTCCACTGGTATCTCACTCTGCCTTTTGGAAGTATTTTCAACCATAGTTCATTCCCTTCCTGAAAACCTTAACTTGGTTGGCTTCTGTGACTTCTTTGTTTTCTTCCTCACTTTTGGGCTGCTCCTTCTCCATTATCTTTTGGAATTCCTCTGTTATTTGCCTCATTACATTCCCCCCAAATTTCTCTTCTCTTGTGAGAATAAAAACTCTTCACATTCCTAGGAAAAGGCTGACAGTTCTAGTGCCATGAAAACAAGCAAATTCTTTGAATGGTTTTAAACCTTCCTCCTACATCAGTGGCAACTTGCTTCGGTGAACACACTTCTGAAAACCAAATTGTCAGTGACAGCCACATGTGCCTTGACAGTCAGCCAGTGGGCCCTGGATTCCCCTCGGTGTACACCCTTCCAAGCTGTCAGCAACCCCTCCCCACATCTGGGACCAACACCATTCCTCTAAGATGCTGCCTTCAAAAGCTATGTAAGTGCAGCTCCTCGCTCTGTGTAATGAGCCTAGGCCTGACCAGCGTGGCTCTCTTTTATTTAAGAAAGCGATCATTTCATCATTTTGGTTTCAGACACTGAGTGACAATTTTATCCCTTGACAATCACCTTCTTTTCTCCTGGACTCAGTGCTGCCACCGGTCCTCTCATGACAACAGAATTTATAATCTACAGAACAGCATTGGTTCTGGGCCTTTGTCTCCAGCAGAGCAATGGTCTAAAAACCTAAACTAACCCTCCTACTGAAAACATCTAAAATAATTTATTTAAATTACACCAAAAAAGAAAAAACTTCATAAGCAACCTTGACCTTGTAGAAAGAGTAAAGAATATGATGGTCAAGTGAAACCATGTGCTTTTCTGAAGACAGCAACTGAAGCATATGCTGAATCAGGTGAACTTGAGCTTCAGTTTCCATGGCTTTGGCCAGGAGAGTGGGCGGAGGCGGGGGAGAGGGGACAGTGCCCTAGGGCCTGAACAACTGCCCGTCTGATAGGAGACTCCTGCATAAATTTCCGTCCTGATAGTGTTACATATGTTATGCAAGGACAAAACAGATACAACGGCCCTCCTTCTCCACATGTTTTAAGGGCAATTGCCTGGTCTTGAAACTTTGTACTCAGTATGCAGAAAAGAAGTCTCCACTAAGAATTTAAAACCACAAGCTGGCTCTAGCATGGTCTCAGCCTGAACTCATAACATATAGATGGCCTGAGAAAAAAATCCAGCTGACAATTTAGCTTAAAGTTGCCCCAGACTATTAGTGCCAAACATGTCTGACAGAGGTAAATGAAGAGGTAGATCTTTACGTTAGGACTCAATTAATTTACTAAGATAAAGTTCCAAGAAAATGTACAGATCAGAGTCCCAAATCACAAAACACGCAAGGCAATAAGGCACAGTGAATTAAGGCCAGCAGAAATCACAGACCAGAGATTCAGACTTCTAAAGACTTCAAATATTCCAATTATCAAAATATTAATTTTAATAATCAGTTGAAAAAATAAATTCATGAGATTTGAATTCCCCATCAGTTGAGTACTATCTGACCCCTGTCAAAAAGCATTCCAACGTTAGATGGAAATGATACCGTTCAAAACTGAGACTTAAGGCCCGGAAAGCAAAAAATACACTGTAGGAACAAGTGGCTCAGATGCCTACGGACCTGCTTTATTGCCTGTCGTTCATGACACCTTTTGGCGGTTGATGGTGTCACAAGGAGTCCTTACGGTTAGCGGACAGAGGAGGAAAACACAAGAGTGTGGGTTTGTGAAGCAGCTTATGTAATATGGTGGCGCCAGCCGGAAGTGCTGTGTTAGAGCCTGATTTAGAAGTGACCCTGAGATTTGACAGCAAACAAGGAAATCTTTTCCATAGAAGGAGGGATGGCCTAGAGTGTGGCTCCACAGCAATTCACAGACTGTGATAATAGGTCCTCTGGTGGGTTGGTCAGTGTCTCAGAAAGGGCAGGATGAAAGGGGTTACAGCAGTACGGTGTATGGGAGAGCTATGTGGATGGATCTCTCCGAAAGGGCATGGGGTGTGAAGATATTTAATTTTTAAATTAAAAAAATTTTCAATTACAGTTGACATTCAATATTATTTTATGTGAGTTTCAGGTGTATGGCATAGTGGTTAGGTGTTTATAATTTATAAAGTAACCCCCCTGATAAGTCTAGTACCCACCTGACACCATACAAAGTTATTACAGTGTAATTGACTATATTTCCCATGCTGTACTTTACATTCCCATGACTATTCTGTAAAAAACAATTTGTACTTGATATTTTGATGCCATCAGAGACAAAATGAAGCTCTCAGTAACCAGGTGGACAAAATGGCCCATCCCTCTTCCACAATTAAAAGGCCCCCCTTTGGATGTCTGTGTGTGATCAAGGCCTGCCCAAGGAAATGTGCCTATGAAACCAGCCTTTCAATAGTTTCTAGTCCAACCTTGAAGCAACTGGGGCAAAAGGAGGCCTTAGAGCTCATTCATACCCGGGCCAGACCATTTCCTGTGGTGAGTGACAATGTAGGGCTTTGGAGCTGAAGCTTGTAGTAAAATAGATGCTTTCACCTGAGGTGCCTGCTGTTATCAAGAAAGCTTTTAGCGTTCTACAAGCTACTCTCACAAATGCAAGGCCTTAAAGATTTTGTTTATTTATTTATTTATTTTTAGAGAGAGGGGAAGGGATGGAGAGAGACAGAGGGAGAGAAACACCGATGTGAGAGAGAAACACCAACTGGTTGCATCTTGCACACCCCCAATCCGCGACCTGGCCCACAACCCGGGGGTGTGCCCCGACTAGGAATCAAACGGCCACCTTTTGGTTTGCGGGAAGACGCCCAACCTACTGAGCCACACTGGTCAGGGCTCATAAATGCAAGGATTTAAAATTTTAATTGTGACAACATATGCTGCCATCAAGAGGCAAGACTGACTCAAGGGACGCCTCTGGTATCCCAAACCACTTGTTAAGAAGACAGAAGGACAAATGGAAAGATTAGTGTTGGAACACTTAACTAAGCAATTAAGGTTGTGCAAAGAGCACCAGCAAACAAGAGACACTAAAAATGAATTAAAATTTGTCATGGAAAGAATTGAACATTTCAAGAACAGTACTGAGGAATTTATCATTTACAGTGTTGGGAATTTTTGAACTTCGTTGCACAGTTGTTTTTTAATCTAGAATTACACATTGATGGAGGTCAGAGTGTCACTGTTGTATTTTCAGTACTTTACACGCCTTGGCCCATCACTCTGAGGACAGGAGTGGGTGACAGCTCATGGGGGATCAGGGGGAAGTCATGAGCTTTGATGAACTGGTGGGGAAGACGTGGCGGTTTCCAGTAGCTGGTCGAACATTCCGTTTTCTGTTTGCATCATGGCCATTTCAAAGTCGGAAGAATCGGGTGGTGCTGTTACAATGAAATCCAAAGGACTTAGGCTAAAGTCATATGCTGGTGTGGAAAAAGTCTTAGGCACTTCCTTGTGGGAGACTTTTGTCCTGTCGCCTTTACTTCTTGGAACGCAGCAGACGCGACGATAACTACATGTCGTTTTTACCTCTTCATTAGCTTTGCAGTATTTCCTGCACTGTCCCAATTTTTGCCTGCATTTTCTTTGACCAAAAGCTGAGTAACAAAAGGAAAGACCACTGATTTTAGGTTATGGATGCCCTCCATTTTACACGCACGACTGTATATCTGGCATCCCATAACAACTTCATGGGTTATAATGAGACACGGCTTCGAGGCTCTCAAGCTCAGGGCTGGTAAAATACCATCCATGTTTCTAAAAATATCTATTCCCAACCTCCTCGCTGATGATATTTTAAATCGTCTGAAAGTGAGATGAATTTTACCGTAAACGAAAAGAAACTTGCTAGTCCCAAGAAATGGGAACTAATTATAGTGAAGCTACTTGGGCCTGTGTGAAGCTACCCACAAAAGTTCATCTTGTTGTCACTGTGATTGAATTATTGGCATTGGTCATACCCCATGTAGTTAAATTTCTCTGAAGACATTCTATGGCAAAATACACATTCAAATGAGTATATTAAACAAACCTGTATAGTTAAAAATAATAATAAATTGTGTACCCATGCACCTGCATTCTGATTAAG